AGGGGGGAAACAAACTGAAGATTAATTTCAGGTCTCAGTTGGGAACCACAGGATTTCTTTGCATACTGGAAGAGTTGTCTGAGAAAACTAGGAATAAAAAAGTATTTGAAAATATCCCTTTAAAAAGTTATGTCTCTACTTAATGAGGAGTGGTGATCCTTGCCTGCAAATGTTTGGCTATATAGTGTTAATTTAACAAGCCATCCTTCTGGTCTCTGTAACACAAGCGATACTCTGTGATCTGTTAAATGATCCCCAATATTTATGTCACACTTGATTTAACAGGAAATGTGCTACTTCCTGGGATATCCTGCTTGCATACACTTCAATAGCAAAGCACAATGCAATCTCAGAGATTACTCTGCAGCCATTGATTATGTGGAAAATAACTGAGGTTCATATTTGACACCTACTGCCTTTGCACTGTTTTGGGGGAGGAAAAAAGAAGCCTGTGAGCCAAGAGGAAACATTTTCTTTACTATTCAGGCTGGCATGCCACATGTGATATCTGATGTGGAAATATTAATTACTTCATTCTTTTCTTGAAAATCTGCTCTAACAGTAAATATTAAACAAAGACATATGTTTAGTAGCTTTAGTCAAGATGGTTTTACCCTATGCTGTTCAGGTTCCCCTACTCCCTGCTGCAGAGTTGTGGCTCTCAAAGCTTCTCCAGGACTAGGACACATCACTCAACACATCATCTGCTCCATTTAGTGACTAAATACAAGCCATTCTCTTGGAAACCCTGATGTTTTTAAAGGCATTTCCTTCTATGGCTTTTTTTTTCTAAATTCTCCATCCTCTGAGTTCATCCAGTATCTTATTCCAATGATTTTCCATATACTTCCTTAGCTATACAGTGCTAGATCTTTTTCCTTGCTTCCTTTCCTTTCTGTTTGTCCCCATTCTTTTCTCCAGGATTAAAATTATTTAAAAACAAACAAAAAGCCAAACAAACAAAAACAACAACAAAAAAAAAAAACCAACCCAATGATGGGTAACTTTAGGGTTTATTTCACCTCAAAAATAACTGTTTAAACAATAGCTTGGTCTGACATCTCCATAGCCTAAACCTGACAAAGAACTGAATTCCTACTTTCATCCTCCATTCCCCTGTCTTCCTTCAGTGACCAAATTAGATTTCATTCTATTCTCTCACTCCTATCACACAGTTCTCCTCTCTGAACTTAGATCCAAGCTGATGGGAATGTGAAATTTCTTGCAATAATTTTTAAGTATCTACATGATTGCTTGTCATCTGAAGTCCCCTTAAAGTCTGTAGAAAGAGAAACGGGTGCTCATGCAGCATTTCAGAAATCTACTTTGGGTGTCTTCCTTAAGACAAATTCAATATAACACAAAGTATCTAACTAACATTCTTTTAGCCTATTTAATCTCGCTGTGATTTGGCTTGTTCTTTATGCATCTTGTTTGAATAGCTATTTAGATTTTTGCTGTTACACATCTTAACAATGCAATTATTTTCCAATCTGGCCTTGCCACTGCAGAACTGATCTTTTGTGAAGATGCAGACAAAGTAATCTTCCAGGCTCACTTCTTTACCCTGACATAGTAACAGTAAAAAGTTCTTTACTTTTTTAACCCTGCATTCTTGGCTGAATCAATCCAGCTACATATAGCATCTATGCTGCCTATGGGGTCACATCAGCTTTTAGAGATATTTTTTATTCTTTAGTATCTCTCTGATATTAAATATGCAAGAAAAAAAGCCCTTCTTATGAACTCCTTTGGTCTAATACCAGTGTCATGCATATGGAAAAATCCTGTGTTTGAACTTCTTTTCTTGATTCTGTGGTTTATTCAGCCCCTACCACATTATAGATGCTATTTCAAAGTTATTATCTTTAATATATATGCATGTAAAGCTTCTGCAGTTTTGTCTACAGTTAATAACTATTAATAATTGTTTTGATTATAAAATCCTGATTATCTAGAAAAAGTGCACAATCTAGTGGATGTCACTTTATCATAATGATCAAAAAAACCCAAAAAACAACTAGAGTTCAGTCTTATAAAATAATGAGAATAATGAGCAATCAAATAGAAGTTCATAATTTCCTTGTTATAATAATACTGAAATGTATTACCAACTTCAAATTTATCTGAAACATTTTGGGTATTTATCTCCTGTTTCCCCCCTGAAATTGATGTGTTTACTTTTTGGCATGAGCTTATTTCTCCACTCAAGTGCTCACATCCATAGTGGAGACAGCAAAACCTAAGTGGATAGGAAAAAATTTCTAGATTTAGGAGAATAATAGTGAAAAAGGGGCTATAGGAGAACACAGTGAAACCCTCTCTAAAAGTTATATACATTCACTGAAGAAAAGTATGAAATAGCTGCATATATTCCCCGTGAAAAACATATAGGGAAAGAAAATTATATAGGAAAAATTTATAATCTTTACTCCTGAAAGTTCCCATACATGGAAATGCTTTGCTTCTATAGCTTGCAGCTAAACTTATATGGAATGGGAGGAAGATGTGCCCTGCAGATGTGTCAGTGCTCTCAAATATGAGCAAAAAATCCTGTGGTATGACAGCAGTTATCTACTTGAATGGGTTTTGTTCATTCAGGCACCACCTGAAGACAGATACATGACTGAAAAATAAACTGCTCTTTACTTCACCCCTGGGTCCAGGCATCCTGGACTTAATCCAAGTTATTTTAGGAAAGAGTCAGAGAATTTTCAGTACAAACAAGCTTCTGGAATGGTTTTCCTTTTGGAGAATAGAACTCTAAAGGCAAGAGAGAACAAAAATTATCTAAGACTACTTCTGTAAAATCCATGAATTCCATATTAGGCCCATATGAATGAACCCACAATTAGGAGGGAAAAAAAGGCAACTTTACCTATAAGGTTACATTCCAATGAATATTATTTTTTAAACTCTTACTGATTACTAGAGAAACCTGTTGGAGTAATTTTAATACCTCAGGGCTTTTCCATATAAATCAAGGTGTACATACTGATTACTATTAGATAGTGGAGAAAAAGTACTGCATCATTAAATCTTTAAATGTGAAAATCTTGGTCTTTCCTTCACTTGGTGCTCATACAAGCAGAGGCACAAAATATCCAATTAAACAAGACCAGTCATCTTCTAGGTGTTAATTTTTGTTCAGCTTGTGTTTGCCTCTAACCCAATCCTGACTTTTGTGCCTACTTGGAAAACACCTATTAAAATATGGCCTAGAGCTGAGAAGTGGAGCCTCTGGGGAGCTCCTGGAGCAGGGCTGATGCTGTCAGTGCTCTCAGGTGAGCCCATGAGTCCTGGCAGAGGCAGCTGCAATGCCCTGCAGAGCCTTTCTGGGATGCTGGGAGTAGAGGTATTGTCTCAGAGTGGAGATATTGTCTTGAACACTGCCTTATTTGCCTTAAATCTGGAGCAGGAGTGCCTGCAGCCCTTGCACCCTCTGCCTGCCATCACCCTCCCAGTGCACTTGCCATGGGAGGGCCTGCCTCAAGCCTCCAGCCCCTTTCCAGGGGAAAAAGATATGGGATCTCCTTCTAAATTCTCACCCCTGCTGCTCTTGTGCATAAGGGGGATTTTGGGGTGCACACAGGGTCTCTCACCTGCCTCGTGGACAGGTGTGAGGCTGTTGGGTGCAGGAATCTGCCTGCAGAGCACCAGCCCCAGCCCCAGGGTGAGTGAGGAGGCTGGAGGGGAACTGGCTGCTCATCTCCAGGTAAAACCAAGCCAGTTTATTATTAAAAGAGTCTGACTTGCTGTTCCAAGTAAATTAGTGGCTGTTTAAATACAAGAACCAGGGATCATGATTCCCATCCCTGTTCTCTGAAAGCAAAAGTCTAACTTACAGTAAGGAAAAAAAAAATTAAAGCTGTATTTTGGCAATATGATGACCCCATATGCATCAGAAATGAACGTGTGACAAGCTTGGAGCATGCAAGGGGAAGAATTTGGAACAAAATTAATAGGAATAGTCAAAATGTAGAAAAAACTAAATAATCCATGTGCAGCAGGATTCATGTGATGCTTTCCTAAAAAGGCATCTATCTTGATAGAGGGGAAATTTGTATTGCTTTACTTTTTTTTTTTTACTTCTTTAGGAAAAAAATATTTCAAACTGAAATAAAATTATGTATCAAGGTTTTAAACCACATGCAGAGATGATTGTGAGGGGCAGGTGATGAAAGCTGCAATCACTGTAAGTGGCATATAACAGGACCTGAAGTTTTATGGATAGACAAGAAATTGCTCTCTCTCTCTCTTATATACCTGCCTACCCTCTTCTTGTATCCTGCAAGACTGTCTTAGGAATATCTGAGTCACACTGGAGCACCAGTAGTTCATGAAAACCCATGACTGCAGCTAGGACTGGGCTGTGGTCAGTGATTCCTGGAGCTGGGTAACATTTCAGGCTGCAGAGGAGTTACAGGATTGGGTTCCTCAGAGATCACTGCTGTATGGTGCTGCTTATTCTGTGGCTTTTCTTATTTGGCCTAGAGACACATTTCTGTAGTTTATGCAAAGCAGAAGTCAATGAAACACACTCTTCTCCAATCACAGTTTAGTCTCATTTGGGTTTTCTTCCCTGCTGCAACATATTTTACTTTTGTTTATAACAGAAACAAAGCAAAAAAATCCCCAAGTAAACATATGGAAAAATCCCCTTGGTCTTTGGAAAAATTTCTTTGAGATGATACATTGCCTCATGCACTAATATATACAGTTCAAAAGAAAATAATGGGTGCAATTGTCTCAACAAAGCAAATTTAAACATTTAAATCATTGACATGTACTAACACACGCACAAGGACAGTCATCTTGGTTAGTTAAAAGACACAATAATATTTCCCAACAATGTTGAACTTCTGAAGGCGATGGTGAAAGAGAGCCAGCTAGCAAAGATAAATAAAGGATTAAAGGAAAGTATACAGGTGGCAATGGCAGATGGGGTGGAAAGTGTCAGAAGGAGGCAGTCAGGAATATTTTGGAAAGGTGCACTCTACCTGTGTAGCCCAGCGAATTGTCACCGTTATCAGAGGTGGGCAGTGGTGTCCCGCTGTCGTTCCCCCTCTCTAGGTCTTCGGAGTCTGTCGGAAACAACACCAGAGCTGCTGATGGGGTCACAGGAGTAACAGTAGATGCCATTTTGATCACAACACGTCCAGACAAAATTAAATCCACACATGACAGCAACAGCCACAGAGCCAGCGCACGGCGCACCTCGTCCTTCCCCCGTCTGCGTGGCGGAGCCCGGAGGGACACGCCAGGGAGCATTGTCCAGGCTCCCCAAAAAGCTGTCCCCTCTTGTCCCCACTGCCAGTGTGGCTCTGCAGCCCGCCAGGCACAGTGGCCACCCTGCTAACCAGCCAGCGCAGGCTGCGGGGAGCATATGGGGATGGCAAGGCAGGGGAGCTGAATGCTAGCATCGCTAATTTCCCACCTTATTGTTAATCAAAGCTATTGACTGTGATCACTCCCCATCATCGCTTCATCTCCTGGCAATTACAGACCCAGGGGACTTCACCTCTTTGTGGGGAGGAGGCGGGGGCGGCTGGGGCTGTGAGATGGGGCAGGGGAAGGGGGCTCAGCCCTCCAAGGAAAGGCGCAGCTCAGCATCACCCAGTGAGATGCGCTTTCCGCTACAAGACCCTTGCGAGGAATCGCTCTGTTCTCGTGTCACATTGGAAAAAGGAAAAAAAGGGAAGGCAGCTGGTCAGCTAGACACATAAATGAACACACGTTTTAAGACCCCGGGATAAACTGCTGATCAAAACGCCACAAAGCACCATGAATATAACTCATAATGATGAGCTAAATAATTCAAAACAAAAAAGAGAATAAAATCCCAGTTGCTCTGAAAACAAAACAGCACAACCCAAAGGAATTTGTCGACACTATCACTGCACCTTTTTACTCTCCATGTTAAACTGTTTAATAAACTTAAATCCTATCTTAGTTTACTTTTGATAGTGCATTATCCAACAGATAATACCTAAAAAAGAAACATTAGTATTTTGTTCAGATGAAAACTTCAAGAAGCAAATGTCTTTGCAGAAATAATACTACCTCAACAATACGCTTTTCTCCTTTTTTCTCTGTTGACAGGTGTCAGATTATTTATTAATTTTTTCAAAAACATGTTTTGCTCTCTCACACATATTCTGGGCCTCTATAATGACTGAAAATAACTGTTCATTTTCAAGAAAATCCATACTACTAAAAATTACTCTGAACTTTCACAAAACCTAAAGCAACTGTATGGAAAACAAAACTAAAAAAAAAGAAGTGGATTTTTTTTTTCTGGATGCTGAATTTTACTAGCTCAGTCACTCATTTTAGAATGCAATGCCAAATATTCATTTCTCCATTTGTTTTCTAAACAATCTTAGAGACAATATCTTTAAAAATCAGAATCTTTTTAATGAGTTACAAAGGAAAAATATTAAGAAAACCAAAATTCGCAAGACAAATCCATTCAAGGGGACTTATTGGAAAAAAATATTTCTTTAGAAAAGTCAATTAAAGGATTGATAGCATGCCTTTCAGAATACTGTCGTGCAAATTAAGAAAATAAAAGACCAAACAACAAAAAGCAGTCGAACACCAAGATGATGTTTCATCTTGGCAGATGAAAGAAGTGAAATATGTTCGTTTATTGGCCCATTCATCTTTGCTGGCTCACTAATGGCCAATGTCACGTACATCTTTAAAATCTGCTCTGAAAATGGCTGCAGATTGACTGGATCAACACTCTGTTTCTCCAGATTGCTCACTCATTTGCATTCAGGGGTTGATTGGGTCAAAGTTTTAAATTACTGCAGTAAAGGACAGAAGGACGGGACTTTTTATTAATTTAAGTGGCAGAGGCTGTGCCTACCTTTTTTAGTGTAAAGGTTTATAATCAACTGCAGGGAGCCCAGACCAAATTTAACCAATGAACCTGCTGATCATCATTCTGAGAGACTGATTGCGTTCTAGGAGATTTAACCACACACTGCTCAAAATGATTGAGGGGGAAGAAGATGCACTGAAAGCTACTGGAAGCGCTGCGTGTCACTGTAATGTTTGGTCCCGTGTGCAAAATATAAATGCACAGTGGATCGGACTTTTTTACCCAAGATAGCCCCTCAGACATGGAATTCCAAGCAGTGGGCCATCCTCCTCACAGCACCTCACTACCAACCAATGCTAATGCCCCTAGCAAAGCTCACTTAGGAGTTTTAACAGGATCAGTCTCCAACTCAGAAATGCTGTGAATTGAAGAAAGCCAACAGGCTAGGAGAGCAGCAGCTGTAAAAATCAGGATACAACTACTTGCAGCTATTTAGGCTTGCAAATCTCTGCTCAAATCACTCAGTAAAAGTAAATGAAGGAGGGAATTATTCTCTTTTTGACACTACTGATACTTACATGATATCTGTCAGTGACAACACACTTGTTATTTACAATCTAAAACTTGTTCACTCTCTCATTCTTGGAGAAATCTACTTTTCAACCTGATATTGAAAATATTCAACTAATGTTAAATTATGGTCTCTGGCTGGAAAGAAATTACTAATGATGAATTCTACTCATTTCATTGAACAATAAGTGCTACAGTTTGGGCTGTTGCCCTCTGTGCTGGGCTGAATTTAATTTTAGCTCCGTCAGAAGTTCCAGCTTTGCTTGGGAATCTCTATAATAACTTAACAGAGGTAAGTAGTGTTGACTTAAATAACACATTTCACTGTAGGACTGCTGTGAAGGCACTCTGTTGAATGGCTAGTAAAAGTCCTGAATTTTAAGACATGATGTATTTCGTATGACTACCATGCTGTAGGATCAGGCAATTTTCAACTTGGCTCACTTAAACATAATAAACAATTTTACATCATTACACTTTTTGAATTTGTTACAATGCCAGAAAATGTGAAATAAATGAACTATAAACCCAAGAACAATTCACCTGACATATGAAGAATTTATAGTTCAGTCTGAGTCAAAGCAGAGGCTGAACCTGGTGCCTAATCCCTCAAAGAAATATCATAATCAATATTTAAGAGGTTTCACAGAAGTAACAGAGAGAGACATCCCTAAAAAAACTCTCCAATGTGATTGGGCATTTTGGTTGAATTTCTGTATCATACAAGAAATAGTTAAACCAAAGTTTCTATTTTTTCTTAGCTGCTCAAAAAAAAGAACCTGTTTTCACTGAAATAAAACTTAAACATTAAAAAGATGCCTAGACTGTAATCGGTTCATTCATTATGTAAAAAAAAACACTAATCAAAACAACAAAAAAGAAGCCCAAAAAAACCAGCACAGCACCCCTCCACACCAAAAAAAAAAAAAATTAACAAAAAACATATTTTATCTAGAAGTATGCAAAACTTCAGAAAGAAGTCAAAATTAGTTTCTCTCCTTCTTCCCCCCGCCTCCCCCCCCGTTTTAATATAGTTCCAAATGAGTTTATTTGGGAAGAGGAAGTTGAAAAGTGAAGCCGTGAGTTACAAAAAATAAGGATCAAGCCACCCCTTAGCAATTGCTACTACACTTTTCTTTTACAGGAACACTTGAGACACTCTGCATTTGAGAGGGGGAGCACCCTCATCATGATAAAAAAATTTCATTCTCTCTTTCCACAGAAATTTCCAGAGCCATCATTCATTAGGTTGGGCAAGACCTTAACAAAAATAAAACAAAACAAAACCAAACAAAAAAATTCCAACAAAACAAACAAATAAAGAAAACTACTTGGATTTGAGAGGAGAGTGTTAAATTTACCAGCACTGAGTGCTCCAGCTTTTTGGTGGAATGTTTTCAGGCTTAGTCAGCTCAAGCACACATGACCCGTCAAAGCATAAAGAGGATTTTGCATCATACAGGTTCAGAACAATTTTAGCTGCTAATGGCAGTTAGAGTGCACAGAAGATTTACATTAATGTGAGGAGCCTTTTCCAATTAAATTTCTATTGAAATCTCTATGTTATTCCATTTTATTGGATGTCCACACCCTTCATGATTTAATTTATGTATCCTTAGTTCTTCAAAATTTTTAGAAAATCCAAATAGTAAATATTTACAATTGTTATTTGTTCTTTTGGCTCCTAGAACACTTCAAACTAGACAGACTTATTTTCACAGCTATTTATATTCAAATGCATTTTACAATCCTAACTTCAAAAATTATATTAAACATATTTTTAATCATACCTCTGCTCTTCAAAGAAAAGTCACCAGTGATTTTTTTCCCCACTGGTAAGAGAAAGTGATGCCATCAGTTATTGCTTCTTTTGAACCAGGAGATATATCTGGATGACTCATTTTATTGATGATGCATCCTTAAAAATCCCCAGATGAATCAGTATTGATGCCCTGACCCAACCTTCTGGTAGACATAGAGAAAAATTGAAAAGATGTAAACAGACACAACTGCTTACTTCTTTAAGAATTTCATATCTGAATTTCTACAATGGTTGTTGCTTATCTGAAATTAAAGTCACCTACTGAAAAACATCCAACTACAAAAAATAGTAACTGTTATCATATTTAATTCCAAAATTTATAGCTTCATTATTTCTTGTTATGTTTCGCTAAATTTCATTATCATCAGCAGCTTGGGGGTACAAAATTAGAAGGAAACAGCATGAACAGCATTTTGCAAATGAGCATTAATAAAAGATTAGGGTGAAGCAAATGAATATAAACTACTATCAATATTAGAATTGTGTTCTACAAATTGGATCAATTCCCATTGATTCATTTCTAGTGATCTAGATGAATTTAGGAAGAGACATCAGAAAAAAAAAAGCCCAACTGGGACTGCACCAAACCTAAAATGAGGATCTAAATTAGTAAATTAGTAAAACCAAGGTTTTTCCCAGTGCTTTGATTTCTTCTAGGTTTTCTTTGGAGTTACAGTAGAAATCCACTATAATATGTCTTAAAGAATATTTAATTTATTCCTATTTCTTCACTTGGTTGTACACAATGCCAAAACAGTTTATGCTCTCAGAGTATAACTAAGGATAGTACCTGAAGGAGAACTGTTGATAAAAGTCAAATCATTAAGTCCACGAAAAGCAAATTTTGGGCAAGAAAAGTACTA